CAAACAAACAAACAAACAAACAAACAAAAAAAACCTCTATTGCATATCTGTAGTAATCAAGGATTTTACAAAAAAACCTCATCAGAAGCCGTTTTTTTCCCCCCGAAGTGCATTTCTGTTGCATCGTCTGTAATAACAAGGGTGCATTTTTTACAAATTTAAAATATCATCTGTACATACCAGGATATCTCAGCCCAGGGGAACCCCCCTGGGGACAGTAAAAATCACAGACAGTTCCAAGACAATGAAGCTGATATCGACAAAGAAGTAAGGCCATAGCTATTGAACTACAGTAAAGCATTGATTAAGTCACTTATTTGCTACTGATCTGCCACAGTATCATCTTTCTCTTCTGGTTAATAAGTGGGTTACTTTATTTTATTTTTTTTTTTAGCATTTTTAAATTTTATTTGTTTATTTTTTTTTTTAAAACCTACAGCTAGAACTGCACCAGGCTAATTTAAAAACGAAAACGAAACGACGAGAGCAGGAATGTAAGATACTATAAAACTAACTCAGTGTTAGAAATCCAAAGAAATAGAACTTTTTTTTTTTTTTTTGCACTTTTTAATCTATCACATGCAAGAAGAATTCCTCCTCCTTTCAGCAGAAGCACAAGAGGCAGGGGGGCAGCCAAATCTTTTCCACGTAATTTGGAAAAGAACTGAACTGGGAAGTGTTTCTGCCGCTACCAAAACTCTGAAAACAAGTCACAGCTCCTAAAGCTGCAAGTCAGGTGGGATTTGCACCTCCTGGTATTTTAGGATCAGCAGAGCAGCACAATTTGCCTCCACATCCCCCCAGGAACTACCCAGGAGGAACCTCCGAGAACTTGTTGTCAGCTCGAGTGTCCCCCCCTGGAAACAGGGACGGTTTGAGCTCTGCTGGCACCACAATCCAGCTCCCATGAAATCCAGCAGTGGCTCCAAACCTTTGCTTTGTCCCAGTTTCCCCAGTCTGTCCAACGGGCAAACTGGTGGGGAGGGACTCAAGGCCCAAGCCCAGCCCGGGGAGGAGAAGGGAACAGCCCCATCCCTGAATCCTGGGGCACAACTCCCACCCCACCATGGATTCACAGCCTCTGTGTCCACCTGGGAATCTCCCCCTGCACGGAAAAGGATGAAAAGGAAAAGAACCAAACCCCAAAGCACAGCTGGAAAGGCTGGAAGGGAAAGGCTCCTGTGAAATCCCTGCACCCAGGTGGGAAATCAGTAACTCCCAGCACCCCAAGCTGAGAGAAGCTGGGACATGCTGGGAAGAGCCAAGTCACAGCCTGACTTGCATTCACTGCACAAGAGCCACGATCTGCTGCTGGAAAGGCACTCCCAGGACACCCCGAGATCCCTTCCCATCTCCCACGAGGACTGAGCTGCAGCTGGTTGGGTTTTCCCCTCCTCTGACCAGTGCCCGAGTCACATTTCCCCATCCAGGTCCTCCCAGCACCACCAGGTCACTCCAGCAGAAGGATCAGGGAATTCTGATCCCCACCTGCAGCAGATCCCACACAATTCCTGCTCGGATCAGCCACGGGCACCCCGACACTTCCTCAGCCTCCCAACCACAGGGCACATCTCCCACTTCTCCCCCAGACACCTGTGACCATCCCACGGGTTCATTTTGTTCCAGTTTGGCTGCAGGAATCGTTTAAAAGCCTTTAGAACGAATCCAACTTTGCATTTCAGAGCTTTGACACTCGAAATGTTTCAAGCTTCCCTCTCATTCCAACAAGCTCAGCGTCACCAAAGTAAAGGGAGAAGGGTCTGTAAGAATCCCTAAACCATAGATGTGATGATTTTTTTACTAAATTAAAAAAAAAAAAAACAAAAAAAACAAACCTCCCAAACCCAGTACAGGTAGTTTGAAAGTGAATAATGGTTTTGGTTTCTTTTAATATATATATTTTTATATATATATATATATATGTATACACACTACAGGACTCGAGGGAACGGCAGGAAGCTGAGTCAGGGGGGGTTTTAGGTGGGATCTCAGGAAAAAGTTCTTTCCCCAGAGGGTGGGTGGGCACTGGAACAGGCTCCTCAGGGAAGTGGTCACAGCTCCAAGCCTGTCTGACTTCAGGAAGCGTTTGGGCAACGCTCTCAGGCACATGGTGGGAATTTTGGGGGGGTCCTGGGCAAGGCCAGGAGTTGGACTCGATGATCCTGACGGGTCCCTTCCACCTCAGCCTATTCTATGGTTCTACTTCTAATCCCATGCCTAGAAATGAACAGTTACCTGCATAAATACATTATACTGTGTTATGAATCAACTCAAAGCAATTGCCAAGCTGAATAATAAGTTAGAGAAATGACAACTCTGGCTTTATATATATATTTATAAAAATAGATATGAGTGTTCTCCAAGCAGTTTGAGAGAGAATCCCTACTGAGGCCCGAGTCGCCGAGGGTTATCTGGCCAAGAAACTCAGAAGATGAAAAATTTCACAGTTATTTTTAAACTGCCACTTACATTCATTCTATGGCAACACGAGCATATATTAATTACTAAGATGGTTACGGAATATAATCACAATTGAGCTTTTTTTCCAGTGTTCACAACTCACGACTTTAAATTTGTACACTTGCTATTCACTAAAACAAAACAAAAAAAAAAAAACAACAAAAAAAAAACTAAAAAAACACAAAAAAAAAGAGGAAAAAAATAAAAATGTGATTCTTACTGCTGGAAGCTACTTTTCCCTAATGCTTTATACAGAACTCTGAACCCTGGCATGCTGATTTTGGCAGATTAATGAGCTGAATGTTCCTAGTTCGGTCATTAATCGCCCTGAAACTTAACCACTTACTGCACAATAGTGTTGCAAATTCAGGCAGCACACAGCTGGCAAGGTGCCACCCTTCCAGCAGCTTCTCTGAACATGAGAGGGGTTTCAACTCTTCACCTTTAGTTCCACTTTAAACAGTTCCAACCAGTCGGTTGCTACCACATCAGCTGTGAACGAGTTCCCCAGGTGTAAAAACCCCGATCTCTGGAGGCCAACCAGCCTGTTCCAGAGGTAGGACAAAGAAAACCCGGCTCTGGTTCGCTGCCAGCCATCCAGAGAGGATGATGAATGCCCAGAGTTCCCACCTGCCAAGGCAGAATTCCACACCTGCAGCCGGAATTTCCAGGCTCTTTACCCGGTGCACTGGGCCTGCCTCAGGAAAAACACACCACGGTCTGTAACAAAGAAATCAGAGAAAGCAACGAGAGAGGGGGGGGGGAGAAAAAAAAAAAAAAAAGCAAACAAACAAAACCCCAAACCTAAGAAGTTG